GGTGTACGCAATCCTGTACGGGCTGGAGCTGTCTCTCCCACCGGTGATGCGGACAGCAGCTGTGTAAATAACAGCGCTGGTGCTTATCTTCTTCGGTGCTGAGGGCATGCTTTTAGGTTTTACATTTTTTTTACATTTTTTTCTGTCCACCTGGCAGTATTTTTTGCCATACTGAGCATCAGTTTGATTTTGAGGAAGGCTCGGGTTTATCTGCACTGCTGTAATGCCCAGTTTACTGGTGTATAACAAAATAAGCCCTTACGTTTAGGAATTCTGAGGTTGAGAATAATTTTTTTGGAACATCAGCCAATATCCAGGGTAGACCACAGTGCAAGGCTGGCAAGATTGTTCCCAGTGAGGTTCCTAGTATGTCTTACACGGCACAATACTGTGGAAATGTATCCATCTTGTGATTCTGGCAAATATTTTTTTCTCCTTCCTGTAAAAAAAACAAAAAAGTCAGCCTCTGATAAAGGTTTTAGTTATGTTGCTATGGTGCAGGATGCTGCAGTACATAGAAGCTTGAATCTACAACGTTATGAGATTTCTTAAGATATTTCATCACCCAATCCTTTCTAAAGGCGATAGTGCCAGCAGGGGCAATTTAAGTTCATGTGTGGAATCTGTGATGGTTGCTGACTGGGATATGGTGACTTTGGGGTTGTTTCCTTGTCCAGAATCATGTGATCTGGCCGATGGCGGTGTAACATTTTAAAATCAATACAATTTTGTGGTAGTGCATTTTTCTAAAATTAGAAACATTTGATACTTTCCCTGTTACTAGATGACCCCATTCCAGCTTGGGAAGGTGTTGAGCTTGATTCTCCCAAGCTTGCTAATGAGTCCATTGCATCTTGATTATCCCTCTCCATTGTTCCCATTCGTAGAATTTCCCCATAGGTCTTCTCAGTCCACTTAGTACTGTTTCACTCCATGCTTAGGGAACTTGTTGCTTTCTGTTTATCTTGATCTCTGATGCTTTTCTTGTTTGCCTCTTTGCAAGACAAAAGAAAGAACTACCTTCTGTGTTTGCAGGTAGTTACTGCTACTTTTACAAAAGACTTGTCAGTAGGGTTGTGAGCAACTGACTTAAGAGGATCCTTGTTTATTTTCTGTTTCTCTGCAGTATAGTGACACAACTAGAATGTTAAATAATCGCTAATTTACTTGATACAGGGGTGTGTTTTCAGCAAGCCCTCTGAGAAAAGAACCTTCTGTCTGGATTGCCTGTTGACAAAACCACAATTTTCTGTCTTAACTCTGCGAGAAATGGTATCAACTAGCTGCAGTGTCCATTTATAGTCTCCACAAACTACCTATGGGTTTTCCAACTGCTGTAGGTAATTTGACTACCCAGTAAGCAAGCAGGCTTTCTAATCCTTCTGAGCAACAGAGGACATCCAGTTCCAGCTGAATGCCATCATCATCTTGAATGCCCTGCCATATACCGAGTGTATCTGACCGGCCGTGCTGTCAACTGTTGTCACGTACATTGTAGGGGTTAAATAAATAAAAATAATCATCGTCTTAGAAGCAATCCTGTGGGGTAAGGATAAAGAATTAATATTCTGGAGCAGGAGTGTAGGTCTCTTTACAGATAATGAGCTGCAGCACGTTCTCCAAAGGATGCCTTAATCATCAGTTGTGGGCTGCTGTGGCAGGAGGAATGCCTCAACAAACATCGCAGTAATGGGCATGAGGAGTACAGAACCCTAAACCTGTCCTGTTCTGTTGTCACAAGTGGGACTGAAGATTTGTCAGCCTTCAGTGTTTTCAGTATAATTTGACAATGCTTTTTGATGAACGAGGGGAACTTTTGTCAGTGAAGTGTTTGTTCTGTTTGTGGCCGGGATGGCACCTGACAGTTGTGTCCAAAATGTCTTTTGGTCTGGGTTTGGTTTGTTTGTTGGCTTGGTGGTTTGTTTTTTGGTTTTGGGTTTTTTTTTTTTTAAGGAGAAAAAAGACAGGATGTGGAATAAAGCTCTTTCCAGGCTGCTGGTTTTGGCTAGAACAACAGTATTTCCAACAGTTCAAGAACTGGAATGCTCTGCCTAAATTACTTAGCATAAACTAGTGACCTCTCTGTTAACAGCAGATGTACAGCCTAGTTAATAGGTCACAGTAGCAGAATGGGGGGGGCTAAATCGGACGTGAGCTCTCAGCTGCAGAAGTACAGTCCAGATTTATCAGGGTGACCTTGAATCACTGCAAATGGAGCCTCTTAGGATACTGCAGCTCTGCTGTCAGGTAATACCTGTTTACACTATAAATATCTTCAGAGAATTAATGTTTCAGGTCCCTGTGCCGGGGCAGGCGGAAACTTCCCCCTCAACATGCAAGAAGTTAATTAGTGTTTCATTAGATACTGTGCACCCAGCAGGATGTTGTGCAGCAGAAATAAACGTTAAATGAATTTTGAAAGAAAGCCAGTGGGAAAATGTCAATGCAAAACCGATCATACAATGGTTTTATCTTTTTATGTGTCACATTTGGAATACATGGACACCCAATATGCATGCTAACTTGGGCTATTTTAATTTGTTTCAGATACTGCTGTTAGAAGTGAGTGGGGAGAGAGAGACAAGGTAGCTAAACAGAGGCAGCGCTGGGGCCCAGTGCTTGTCCAGTTGTCAACATTTAGCAAAGGGGTAAAATTTCAGATATTCTTCTCATGTGAAGATGTGAGAGAGGGACAATCGCAAGAGGAGGTTGGAGGGACCGCTGTCTGTTCAGGTTACTGAAGTACAGCAGCATGATGTTCCACATCTAAAAGGCATTAGAAGATGTGAGAAGAGCCATGTACACCAGTAGTATGTTCTTTTTGGCATCTACCCTCTGAAAAATATTTTTAAGCCTTATGTCTTGTAATCACTTAAGGTTTCTTTTCTCATCTGTTGGAGGTGTATTAGATGCTGCAAAAAAAAAAGCACTGCTGGCTTGCATTAAAACTGGCGTAATTTTAAATGGAATACTGTTGTTTTCAAGAGTAAAGAGTGATTTGGGGTTTTTTCTTTCGTTGACATTTCGACTCCATATTCACAAGTGTTTTATCATGTTGGTTAAAAAGTAAAGCAATTTACAAAAAATTCATTATTGTCACTTGCATCTGTTCTGGTGATGTCTTTACAAAGGTATCATCCACACCTCACAGTGGGAATCCGGTTCGGTTGTGCTGGGCACTGGGCAGACCTTGGGGAAATACACAATCCTTGATTCACAAGTTGGATGGAAAATGGTGGTTCCAGTTTGGTGGGGTGTGCTTCAGTAGCAAGTGAGATCATCCTTGCAGGTGAAGTAGAGTACACGTTTCTTTACTGGCTTCAAGCAGGAGCTGTTCAGAAACATTCAGAGTATTTGGAGCCTGACTATTAACCTGCACGTTTGCTTTGTCCCAAGCAAAGGGTAGGAAGGCTGCAAAACTCCGTGCAAAAAGGAGTTTATAGCAGGTATAGGAGTTGGGAGATGGCAGCAGTGTGAAGTTTGCTGTTAACAAAGCTCAGGTCCAGGAGCGACTGGTCTGAATTTACCGTGTTCTTTAGTTATTGGCTCGTAGTCCCAAGTTGGTGGCTGGTGAATATTTTCTCGTCTGTTTAGTTTAAAATCAGTATCTTCTTTTGTATAAAATGTTTAGAGTATGGTAGATTAAAATGATAATTTACTTTGAATGGCAGTGCTGTTCTATGAGCCATAAAAAGCTCTTTTGGTCTCAGTTCCACGCCAGCTAAGGCAACAGCGGAAGGAATGCCAGTTCTGTCAGAATAGGTGTTATATAAATATGCTTTTCTGATTTAGAGCAGAGTTTCACCCCCACTCCCACCCCCGATAAAGAAAAATACTCCTTTAGCATATTGTAGGCAGTCCAGAAAAGCCTAATGAGGAAGATCTGCGCATTTTGTTGAGCTAACCTGTGTGATCCCAACTGGTCCAGTGTATACCCCTGGAGTCCTTGTTCCATTGACCTGCGTATTTGTCCGCAGTTTGCAGTGGGTTAGGGTACAACTGGCGACCATCCCTTTTGACAGCAGTGCTGGCCCAATGCTGGCGCTGCTTCTGCAATGCCTCTTTCAGTGCTGGTAAAACTGCATGGCTACATGGAGAACTGGATCGGGAAAATTACTTGGATTACCTTTTTTCCCCCCCCCCCCCCGCCAGCTTATTTTTATCTCTTAAATTACGTAATTATTCCATAACTTGAGTTTTCTGCTTGGATTCCGTCCCAGACAATTGTTAAGATTCGGTAGCGATGGGGAACATAGAACCAGCCATTTTTCTGTGATATGTGTGCTGTAGGGTAGTAAATGGAGAAAATGTCATCAGTCTTTTGTGGCTTAGGGGTGGGGCGTGGGAGTATGCCTCATTAGACATCTCCTCAAAGAGTGCAAATTGTGTGTAGGTACTCTGAGCTATCTCTAGCGAGCAGTGTTTGGAGCTGTTGCTTTGTGTGGACATGCTGAGTCATTTCAGAAAGAAATGCTTCTAAAATACCGAGCGGTAATCGTCCAGGTCTCTGGTTGTACTGTGGACCTTTTTCACACTCATTTTCCAATGTAATCTGAAAACCCATATTCCTTTCTTGTTTGTATCTAAATTATTCTTACGCATCTTCTTTCTTCTGTGCATAGAATAAGCTACCCTGCTTCCTCGGATTTTTCTTAATGGCTTCCGGTGTAATCCTACTTACGGACACTCACTTTCCCTGTCTTTCAAGATAAGCCTGTGAAAACCGGGCTGTTTTGCAGTGACTAGTCAATAATAATATAGATGAAGTATTATATCACACTTGGGTAAGTTACCACCGCAGAGGTGCTGGTCCTCAGGGCTACTGAAATGTCTGTGGTCCAGCCGTCACGGAGTGGGAAGGCTCCCTGCCGAGCGACATGTGAACGTATGGATGTTGCCTTTCGGCGTCTGCTTTTTCAGATGATGTCATGATGCCATATAGCTTACTGAATTTCCTTTCATGGGGTATTCGTTAGACCTCGAGTCTCTCCTCGTTGCAGCTTGTACAGTGACCTGCTTGTATCTTTCAGATAAAGAGAAGGAGAAGATAAAGCTTGAGGAAGATGAGGCAGCAGCTGCCAGCACTATGGCAGTCTCTGCTTCCCTTATGCCACCCATCTGGGACAAAACTATTCCTTACGATGGCGAGTCTTTCCACCTGGAGTACATGGATCTGGATGAGTTCCTGCTGGAAAATGGAATTCCTTCCAGCCCTACTCACCTGGATTTGAACCAGAATCCACTCTTGCCTGTGGCTGAGCTGGAAGGAAAGGAGTCTGCCAGTGCTTCCACTGGTTCTCCTGCGTCCTCCTCTTCCACTGCAGTTTACCAGCAGTCTGAAGCAGCCTCCAGCACAGGTAGATGGAATAACACGGGGCTCTGAGGGGGTTTTGTTGTTCTCGGATTAAAAGGTGCGCCTCAGCCTGAAGAGGAGACGTGCTAACCTGTCAGTGTTAGCTGTGGCAGGTTAAGGGGCACAGACATGCTCAATGTAGGGCCTTAGTCTGCGTGTCGGTTCATGAAGATGCTTCCCCTCTCCTCCCTTCTAGAACAAGTGAGTGAGTCTCTCTGTGTGTGGTCTGTTTCTCTTCTGAGAAGGGCTGAAACACCAGCATAAAGTATTTGCTTTCATCGTATTGCTAATCTAGTGAGAAGCTGGACGTGTTGGGAAAATAGTTTCCCAGGTTATTTTACAACAGCTTTGATAGTTTATGACAAGTCATTTGTGCTCCCTTGGTGGCTTGGCCTGCTTGGGTGAGCTTATGCTCATTTAGTGTACCTCGAGTAACAGTACTTAATAGAACAAACAGTGAAGCAATCTCTTCACGCTGGCCTGTGAAATGTGAGGACAGGCACTTGGAAAAGGTGTGTTAGTGATGCAGTTTGATGTTCTGTGGTGCTTTGAAGTAGGAATGTAGGAACAAAGAAACAAAACCCTACTTAACTGATACTAGGAAACTTCTGCTCTTGGTTTGTAGTATGGAGATCTTCTCTATTAAAGAATTTAGCAGCTCTGTTTTCTCTAGATTTGGAGTTTAAACATGATAGCCACTCAGCTTTCACGGTACTGTTTTATGAGCAGACTTTACAGGAGGCATTTTACCCAGGGCCTCTTCTGTGCATCTGCAGGAGAAAGGAGAGATGCGTAACTCCTTCAAGAAGACAATGGAGTGTGGCTTTTTTCTAGGTGATATGTGAAAAAAGTTATTATGATCTACTTGAGATTGCACTGACATTTGCAATTTGTGTGTATGAACTTTGTAAACGACAGATAAATATGACAGAGTTGATAGGAGTGTTACCAGTGTCAGACTATCTGTTGGGATGTTTGTTTCACTTGGCGAAGCAGTAGAATGCAGTTGTATTTCGTACCAAACCCACCTTTCTTTAACCCTTTGAAAATACAATTGCCTGACCTTTGGAGGACCCGGGGGGCAGGGTCTTAGAGCAGGCTTGTTTCTGTAAGGCTTTCTGGGCCACAAAACTCGGCTTGATACAAGTTTCTCACTACTTCCTGCTGCAGAAGGTGCTGCTTAGTTGCTCAAAGCATGTAGATTTTGCCGAGGAAGCATGAGCTGTTGTCCCCCACCTACCCACTCCTGTCTGTTAGTCTGTGGCATCTGTTCCTAGAGCCTCTATTAGGAACGGGACTGTGTAGCTTCTCTCTGTACCAGCAGCTGTACAGCACCGAGGAGGCCTCAGGGAAATACCGAATGCTACTACTAAACACTCCCCGCAGTAGGGCAGTCGAGATACCCAAGCTGGCTTC